CTAAACTGTTTCCAGGTAATAATTACTGGGTAATATGGCGCCAATATAATTTAACATATTTTCCGACAGTTAAAGGCAATTAGGGCGATATCAGGTTATAAGGATATAATATAGACTGTATTGAACGTTGTGAGAACTGTAATGGAATACTCTTCCAGTGGTAAGCTTAGACACGGGGACACTTGGAATAATCGCCGAATGCACTTGTTATTCATTAATCGTATGAATGCAAAACCGTTTGAGGCAACGAGGTCGGAAAACATGAGCGAAGTATCTCTCCCGTCCACTTGGAATAATGGAACGGTGGGTAGGATCCAGACTTTGGGGGTAATGATTACATTTTCTATTACACTTACATTTGATGTAATTGTAATTTAAACTTTACCAATTACAATTACTAGTAATTGTAATTGGAGTTTTGTCAATTATAATTATTTGTAATTGTTATTGAAGTTTTGCCAATTACAATTAATTGTAATTGGAGTTTTGTCAATTACAATTACTTATAATTAAGAATTTTTTCCTATTGTAATCTCTTATTAAAAGGCAGTTATTTTATATTTAATATAAAATTCGTAATCAAATTTATTTAAGACACAAAACACAAATTCTATTGTAACGATATTTTTAACACAATGAAAATTTCTGACAAAAATATTTCTACTCCAAATTCTCTGATTGCTTTGTTTTCAACACCCCCTCTCAATCAGATAATCCCAGAATTCTAACAAAGTTTTGGAAACGCGTTGGATCAGTAGCTTTTGTAAATATATCTGCCAGCTGTTCACTTGTTCCAATCGGATTTATCTTAATTTTGAACAAAATGATGTGTTATGTCAATATGTCTGGCACGTTTGCTTTCTAAATTTGTAGCCATTCCAATGCAGTCATATAGTACAACAGGAGTATCTTCTGACATAACATTCAAATCGTGAAGTAAACCCTTTAACCATATTGCTTCCGTTGTAGCTAAGCTCAGTGCCATATATTCAGCTTCACTAGAAGATTTTGCTACGGTTTGCTGCTTTTTACTGCACCAGGAAACAGTTGATCCAAATATCTTAAAAACGTATCCACTTACAGATTTTCGATCTGCCACATCTGACGCCCAATCCGCATCAACATATCCAACAATTGGTTCTGTACTTGAGACTTCAAACTTTAATTTAAATGATGATGTTCCTTTTATATACCTTACAATACGTTTTAAGTGCTGCCAATGAGTTTCGTTTGCATTTTGTTGGTATCTTCCCATATAACCTACAGGATAACAGATGTCAGGTCTTGAGCACAACATAATATACATTAAGCTTCCAAGTAGTTCTCGATAGGGTTGGTTACATTCAGATCCTGGCTCTTGCTTTAATTGCAAACCCTTTTCCATTGGGCTTTTTACAGCATTGCAGTCTACCATACCAAATTTTGATAATAATTTATTTATACTAGCCTCTTGTGATACTAAGATTGTATTACTATTGTGTTGAATCTTCATACCAAGAAAAAACTTGAGAATTCCACAATCTCAAAACGTTTGGATAAATCCTTCTTTAATTGTTCAATACTTGACAGCTTGTTGCCGGCAATTAGTAGATCATCAACGTACATTATAACAATAATATCATCAGTGTGATTTGGACTTAATCTTGTATAAAGACAATAATCATGCCGCGATCTTTCAAATTTAAGGGAAATCAGGAAATTGTTAAATTTTATGTTCCAACACCTCGGCGCTTGTTTTAAGCCGTACAATGATTTATTTAATTTACAAGCCATACCATCATTAGCTTTAACTCCATCAGGTATACACATATACACGTCTTCATTCAGATCACCATGTAGAAATGCTGTCTTTATGTCAAGTTGATGAAATATATATTTACCATATAAACCAACTGCTAAAACCACACGAATTGTTGTTAATTTGGCGACAGGGGCATATGTTTCAAAGTAATTTACACCTTGTTTTTGTTGGAACCCTTTAGCAACGAGCCTTGCCTTATATTTAGTTGGATTACCATTTTCATCAACTTTGATATTAAATACCCACTTTGACTTTAACAGCTTTGTTTCCTTTGGAACTTCTACTATGTTCCAAACTTTATTTTTGTCCATTGATTTGAGTTCTTCATCAACGGCTTTGAACCACTTATAAGAATCTTTTACAGATGCAATATCGTAATAAGTTTCGGGTATTTTATCATTTGAAACAGTAGCACCTAAACCAGTAATATAGCTTAGAAATTTACTGGGTAAACGTCTTTCACGGCTACTTCTACGAACTGGAACTGTAGCTGTTTCTTGGATTCCATTGGCGTCTTGAGAATTAGAACTGTCTTGGGGTAAAACTTCTTCATCCTCATCTTCAGTCAAATCGATTGTATCATTGTAACCTTCACCATTTATATTTTGCTCGACCAATGCTTCATCATTAAGTACTTCAGACACAGCACAATTATTTTCACTTTCCCCCTCTTGCTCGTGTCTTCTTTGGACTATGATACTATCTTTGCTGATTTCATTTTGAAATCCTTCAAAAGGGAATTCGTTTTCTTGAAATTTTACATCTCTTGCAAGTATCACTTTTTGTTTCTCTAAATCCCACAGCCGGTAACCATTCGGTGCATATCCAATCATCACGGACTTCTTGCCTCTATCATCAAGCTTTTTCCGACACTGGTGGGGAATCCATACATATGCTTTACAACCAAAAACTCTAATTTTATCAAATTTTGGTTTGACGCCTTCCCACAACTCCGAAGGAGTTTTTAAATCTTCAAGACTTCTTGTAGGACATCGATTTATTAAATAAACAGCAGTAAGAGCTGCTTCAGACCACATTGTTTTAGGAGCTTTTGATTCAAGTAACATTGTTCTTACTTTTTCTGTTATCGTCCTGTTTAACCTCTCTGCCACACCATTCTGTTGAGGCGAATAAGCTACCGTAGACTCTATTTGTATGCCTTTTCTTTTGTACCAGTTAGATTGTTCAGTAGATAGGTACTCTCTGCCTTGATCAATTCTAAGATTTGAAATAGAGGTGCCACTGAACTTACTTGTAACAAGTGCTTCATACTCTTGAAAATATTTGAAAACCTCCGATTTCTTCTTCATCAGGTATATTATGGAAAAATGTGTAAAATCATCTATGAAACTGACAAAGTATTTACATCCGTTCCATGAACTTGGACTAATGGGGCCACAAACATCAGAATGTATCCTTTCCAGCACCCTTTTCGCTCTTATGCGTGTGTCATCAAATGGTTCTCGACATTGCTTACCTTCAACGCAAATATCACAAAATCCAAGAGATTTTGATTTAAGATTTAGTCCACTTATAAGATTCGCTTTTTCTAACTTCTGAAGACCACTTTCGCCAACATGTCCAAGTCTACGATGCCATAGGACAGCATCATTTGAATTACTCAATAACGCAGATGAATTATTTATATTAATCGCCAGTTCATATAAATTTCCACATAATTTTGCAGTAGCAATCACTTCTTTATTTTTTAATATAATTGCTTTATCATTAATGAACTTTACCTCTAAATCAGCACTAGTAAGTTTACTAACAGACAGCAAATTGTCTCGCAAATCAGGGACATACAGTACATCCTTCATAGATATTTGAACCCCTTTATTACTAAGGCCGTTAATCTCTCCATGATGTTTTGCTACAATAAATTCTTTATTCTTGGCCACATTTATTTCAACTGGTTCTTTCAATTCTTTTAAATTTTTAAAACACCACTTTTCATTTGACAAATGATCACTCGCACCTGAATCCAACTTGAATATAACTTGTCGGCTTTGATCATTGCGTCTTTGTTTATTATTACCGCCAACCATGAAGCAGACACCCTTATTAGCAACTTGAGCATTAGCACTTCTACAATCTTGTGCCCGGTGACCAAATTTGTTGCACTTGAAGCACTTAGCATTGAATTTCTTGAACTTATGGAACTTCTTACCAACAAAAGCTGTTCTTTGTTCAATATCTTCTTCGTTTCTGTCTGACAATTTGGCTTCTTCTGACATTAACCTCTCCTTAACTAAGTCAAACGACAGCTTACCATCTTCAACATTTTGTAATGCTGTTACCAATGGATCAAATTTTTCCGGAAGGGTTAGAAAGAATTGTGCCAATAAATCATCCTCTTCAATTGTAGCACCAGCCATCTTCAACTGACGAATCAAATTCTCAAAAGCCATTATATGAGCAGTCACATTGTCACCTTCATTCATACGCATTCTTGATAACTTCTTACGCAAAAGTAATTGGTTTACCACTGATTTCTTTGCAAATACAGATTGCAAACTATCCCACATTTCTTTCGCTGTATTCTTCTCCCGAACATAGCACAAACAATCCGAGTGTAAAAATCCAACCAAACGATCTTTTGCTTTCTTGTCGTTCTTCATAAAATTAGGAATTGCATCCGCATTTGTAGGAGGAGCGCCGGTTAGAACGTCCAACAATCCCAGACAGTCCAAATGCAATTTGACACGAAACTGCCAATCATCGAAACCAGAGCCGTTAAACTGTGGTATACCGTGAGATTCTTTTGAGTCGCCCATAACTATTGTAATCTCTTATTAAAAGGCAGTTATTTTATATTTAATATAAAATTCGTAATCAAATTTATATTTCCAGATATTTAATCCACCAGGAACATTAAGTAAAAATTCTAAGGAATTACGTTCAGGAAACTGAATTTCTTAACTTTGGACGCGAATTCCTTCCTTAGACTAAATTATATCTTATTGGAAAACTATTCTGAAATTATTAGACTTATACCATTCACATTTTAAATGTTTTTATATTCATATGACTAAAAAGTAAAAAATGTATATTTTTTTGTTAAATAGTCAAAGCGTTAAGGTTTAATTAATATTTAATCGCCTTGTTTAAATTAATTTTGTTAATAGTTTAACTGAGTTTTTGTGTTATGGATTAGTAACAAAAATCAATAGAAAATACATAATAATTAGTCTGCAGAATGCATTTCAAAAGTGTAGTCGTGATTTTCATCAGTTTTTTAGCTTTAACATTAAGCACTGTTAGATTTACAAACATTAAATGTGAAGAATTAAGACCAAAATTTGCCACCATTTCGAAATGTCAACTTAAAATGGTACAACGCGGTGTGGCAGCTCTAGACATTTATGTTAAACTCTTGCAAATACCAGTAACAAATATAACGGTTAGTATTACTTATCCTATTCAAAATGTTCTTATTATTAACAATATTTTATAGGTGACTTCGAGTTTGTACAAAAAAGCCAATGGTTTTCGACCATTTTTGTACAATACTACCACAAACTTTTGTGAGTTTTTGAAAAATAAAAGAAAATATCCTTTTTTCAATATAGTTATGGATATGTTTTACAAAGCTTCTAATGTAAATCACAGCTGTCCTTATAATGTAAGTTTTATTATTATGAAATTAATATTTTTTATGCGTTTTTTCATAATTTTGCTTTTTAGCATGACATTATTTTGCGTAATGTAATTTTAAAAGATTCCATGTTTAAACATTTGCCACTGCCAGGAGGTGAATATATGATCAATTTGACGGTATACGCCTACAATGATCCGAAGGCTGTTGTAAAAGCTTACTTTCAACAGTTAGAAAGCATTTAAATTAGATCGCATTTCGTTGATATATTAATATAATTTAACATTTTAATAGGTTTTGGTTATTGGAATTTCAATTAAATATTAATTATTTCAATTAAATATTAATTAAATGTTGTTTTTTGGCCACATTGACAATTATTTGGACTACCAAATATAAAATGCGAAGATATACACATTTTTTACTTGGTATAACTAGTAGGGTGATCGATTATTCGACATTTTCCAAAAACCGGTTTTCGAATAGTTCGAATAGTTGACATTTCAAAAAAACCGGTTGATATTTTTCAAATTCAGAAAAAACCGGTTAACCGGTTTTTCATAATAAATAAAAAAATATATGTTAATTTGAAGAAATTAATGTTTATGTTTAAATTTGATTAATAAAACATGGCCCGAAATGATTTTTAACAGTTTAACAGATTATAACTTTAGATCTAGTCGTCTGATTTACATTATTTCTTTAATATAAAAAAAAAAAAATTAGGAAAAAAGTGGACACTTCTGTTAAACATAAGGTACTATGTAATCCTAGCTTATTCTAAAGCCCTTTTAGGAAATTTTCATAGGCATTCCAACACTTCCATAATATTTCAGCGGTAAATTAATTATTGTAATTGGAATATAATCTTAAGATTAATAAAATTTTATTAAACAGTTATCAATTTTACAAATGAAATTTTTTAATTAATTAGGAAAATCAAAAAAGTTTAACCAATGGTGCTTAAGAAAAATATATCCTAGTTCCTGGACTCGAATATTTTTAAAATTTAAACGGGCTGTATTATTATTTACTTCAAAATTTAATTTAAATAATCTTTGAATACAAAGCAAATAAAAGTATTCGAAACCGGTTTTTAAAAAGTGAAAAAACGGTGTTATTCGATATTCGAAAAATCAACATTTAGAAAAAACGACACTGGTAAAGCAGAAAAAACCGGTTTTAAAACCGGTTGAAAAATCGAGTCGATCACCCTAATAACTAGTTGACCGCTGAAACATTTAAGGATGCTTGCTCTTATGGTTTCTCAGATATACGAATTTTTGTAATTAATTTATATGCTAAATTAATTAGTAAGTTAATTGCAATGCTAATCCGCCAATTTTTCACCCAAATTTTTCAGTGCAAAATTTTTGGGATTCAAAATTCAATAGTTTCTCATATATACGAATTTTGGGATTCAAACTTCAATAGTTTCTCATATATACGAATTTTGGGATTCAAACTTCAATAGTTTCTCATATATACGAATTTTGCTATTTAATTAATATGGGAGGTGCCACACCCCTTTTTGCTAATCTACCAATGTATTAGACATTTTGTACTTAATTCATATGGTACGTACCAAATGCTTTATTGCTAATACCTCAATTTCGTACGCAAATGTTAACATGGATGTTAAAGTTGTTTCTGCTCAATTTTAGGCTTCCAGATCTAATAGTTTCCCATACAGTGTCTCTTATAAGTATTCGAATTTAGGTATACTATGAAAAGAAACCAAATTTAATAATACTTTTTGTATGCAACATAAATAAATTTGTTATATTGTCTAGACAGTCCTTAGGTTTAAAATCACGCTTTTTAAAACTTGAAAAATTTACATTTACTTAAATTAATTTAGCTTTTTTTAAAAAAAAGTCCACAAAATTACCTCACAAAAGTATACGAATTTTTCCTGTATTTCATATTTGATCATATTATACGAAACACAGATTTTATAATCGAATGGTTTTTATGCTTAAAATTGTTTTAAGGGGTTACTATCAACCGAAAAGATATATTTTTGCCCCATTTGGTACACAATGTTGGGGATTTGTACCCTCTTTTTATGTAATATCATTAAAATTGCGATTTTTGGCAATATTTGTAGTATTTTCTCTTTTTTTTCAGAGATAAAACCAAAATTTTATATTATTTTATATTAATAGACCCCTAGGAGTATCTAAAAATGGTATTTTTTGTTACAAGAATCTGTATTTAAACGATCCAAGATATATTATTGATATCATTATTCTGTCGCTAATTCAATATATTGGAACTTAAGTCAATTTTCATAATACTAGGGTCAAAAATTTTCGGGGAAAGTTTTCTTGTATATATTCTTTTAGATATAAGCTTTTATATATTTTAAGTTTTCAATGTATTGTTGAAGTGTACAACTCCAAAACATGCCTCGAAGAAACACCATTCAAAATGGTAGTATCATTATTTTTATATATCAATGACCTCCAGGCTGCATGCCACTATATCATTATGGTCTAACTCAAAAATATCGATATCTGTTTAAATATTGATTACTATGATCAAAATAAACCCAAAATTTTGGACTTACAGTGTTATTGTAATGGGCAACATAAGCGTGAAAGTTACGAATAGTAAAAACTGAAATCGACTGTATAGGATGACGTTTTGTAAAGGCATGTTTTGGAATTGTATACCGATATAATGTATTGAAAATTTAAAATATATTAGTGCTAATATGTTCATGAATGTATACTAGCCAACTTTATCGGAAAATATCGACCCTAGTGGTACGAAAAGGGACTTAAGATCCATACAATTCAATTAGAAACAGAAGAACGATACCAAAAATACATCTTGGAACTTTTAAGTACAGATCCTTATAACAACAATTATTATTTTCAGATACCTCAAGGGGTCTATTAAATCCCAATATTAAAGTTTGGGTTTATTTCTCAAAAAAGGAAAAAAATTACAAATATGGTCAAAAAATCGCCATTTTAATGATATTACATGAAAAGGTACAAATGCTCCAAAATTGTGGAACAAATGGGCCAAAAGTATATAATTTCGGTCGATAGTAACCCCTTAACACAATTTTAAGCAAAAAACCACTCGATTATAATTTTTGTGTTTCGTATAATATGGTCATATATGAAATACAGGAAAAATTCGAATAGTTTTGTGAGGCAATTTTATGGACTTTTTTTAAAAAAAGTTAAATCAATTGAGGTAAATGTAATTTTTCCAAATTTTAAAGAGTGTGATATTATACCTTAGGACTCTTTAGAGTCTAGACAATATAACAAATTTAATTATTCATTTCACACACAAAAAATATTATTAAATTATATTTCTTTTCAAAGTATGTACAACCAAATTCGAATACTTATGTGAGACACTGTATATATTTGAATTTTTATATTTAATTCCTATGGGAGATGTCACGTCTCCTATTGCTAGTCCGTCCATTTTATCCCATATTAGTCATATACATTTCAATGCAGCGTGTACAAAATTTGAGGATTCTAGCTCTAATCGTTTCCCAGATATTCGATTTTTATACCCTTCATCTTCGTGAGAAGGGTACATATATATAAGTTTGTCATTCCGTTTGTAATTTCCAAAATATAATATTCAGACCCTATAAAGTATATATATTCTGAATCTTTATAGACAGCGGAGTCGTTAAGCCATGTCGATCTGTCTGTCTGTATGTTTGTTGAAATCAGTTTTTAAAGGACCCCAGATATCGGCGAGATCCGAATCTTCAATAATTCTGTTAGGCATGCTCTCGGGAAGATCGCTATTTAAAATCAGCAAAATCGGTCCATAAATAACGGAGATATGAGCAAAAATCGGAGACAACCTCTGAAAATTTCATAAAAAATACAATTTTTTTCATTCTTTGATAAATAAGCAACAACAACAACAACACTGCTTATTCATTGCGTTGTGTATTATGTTTTTGTTTTTTTTTAGTATTTCGTTTCATATGTTTGGATGGCTGCGTGTTTCATTGCCATGTGTTTATTGTTTTTTGGTGTATTTATATTTGTGTATTTCATTTCGTATGTATGGATGTCTGTGGGTTTTACTGCCTTGTGCATTTTGTTTTTTGTGTGTTTATTTCGTTTAGCGTTCTTGTTGTTCGTTTTGCTATTGCTATAATAATGATATAGTCGGGAAAATGAAATAAATTTAAATTTTATAAAATTGATATTTTTTTAATATGTACACTGTGGTGAAGGGTATATAAGATTCGGCACAGCCGAATATTGCACTCTAACTTGTTTTTATTTAATTCACATGAAAGAGGCCACAACCCATAAATCGCCATTTTATTTCACATATTTGTCATCATCCGCCCATTTCATCTACATATGTATGTTCACATGATTGTCATCATTCGCCCATTTCATCCACAAATGTTCACATGGATGTCAAAGTTGTCCATATAAAATTTGAGAACTCTAGCAGCTTCTGAGATAATGAACTTCAATTGCTTATTTTTCATTTGGGCGTGGCACTTCTCTTACTTAAAATTTCACCCTTTTTGTTCAAAAAATATTCATATTGACCTAAAGATATTCGTAAAAATTTTGATCTGTCTAACTGTTCTGGTGTTCTAGTTATATAGATTTCAGTATTTACTTTGTATGGGAGGTGTCACGCCCACTTTTGCTGGACCACTTATTTGTATTCAAAATAATTATAGTTAAACTGAAATTCGGGACTCTTGCTGTTATAGTTTTCCAGATAGCCAGATTTTAGTATTTATTTTATATGGGATGTGCCATAACCACTACCCCATAAACACTATTGCTAGTTCGCCCATTTTTATCCATAATATTTATATTGAAACTAATGTTAATTGTACAAAATTTGGGGCGTCTTGCTGTTTTAGTTTTCCCAATATTCCCATTTGGTTATTAGCTTGCAATAGCAGGTAAAGTAGTATATGTAGGCGTGGCAATAAAAAGCAGAATATGTTTCCTTCCAGAAACTACAGGAACACACTATGAAAATTTAAAGAAAATCCGTTTTAGACGTTTCGCTGTCCATAGGCTTTAAACAAACACACATATAAGATCCAATACAGATACCGACTTTAACGCTCCTAACTGGATTAGTACTATAAGTATAGCGATGAAATTCGTCATAAACAAGTTTTATAAGAACAAAAATCTCTCTGCTAGATTTGATGAATATCGTTTCATAGTTGATCCTATCCCCCATATAAAATCAAGTTTTATAGGAATCAAAATCTCTCTGCCAAATTTTTATGAGGATCAGTCCATACTTGCTAATCTTTTGATTTATCACAAATAATACTTTTTGAAAGCTATTATTCACTATGTATTTCAAATTCTGATTAAAATTCAAATTGTATATCAAATGTTCCAAAATGTAGTTTTACAAAGAATAACATTTTAAAATGCGTTTTTAATTATCTACAAAATTAAATAGTTTTAATATGAATTTAAATATATGTATATATATGTATATGTATATAATTCCTATTAAAAATTTTAAAAAAGTCACTAAATATGGCTGTGTGCTTTATGACTTGAAGCAATACTTTTCATCGATATCAAAATGAATTTAAAATTCTTTATATTAATTTTCACTTTTCAATTAATAAGATTTTCATTGACTTCTTTAAAGTTTACAAATATAAAATGTGAAGAATTCGATTCAAAATTTGCCGCATTCCATGAATGTCGTCTACGACTGCCCAAACGTAATACAGTGGCTTTACACATTTATGTTAAACTTTTTCAACTACCGGTAAATAATGTGTCGGTAAGTTGTAATTTTTTAAAATTATTTTTAATATTTTTTTATAAAACTAAATGTGAATAGTTGTTTTTTTAATTGAAATTTTAGATCAATTTATCCCTGATGAAAAGAGCCAATGGCTATAAACCATTTTTGTATAATGTATCTACTGATTTTTGCCTCTTTATGAAGAACAAGAAACAACATCCATTTTTAAATTTCTTTTTAAGTTTGCTGGTCAAAGCCTCAAATATAAATCATACATGTCCATTCAATGTAAGTTTTCATTATTAAAATTTAAAAAAATTCAAAATTGGCAATTGGCAATTAATTTTAAATTTTAAAAAGATATTAACAAATTTACTTTTTGCTTTCTTTTTAGCATGATGTCATTGTTCGTAATTTAGTTTTACAAGAGTCAATGTTTCAAATTTTACCACTACCATCGGGAGACTATATGTTCCAGTTAAAAGTGGCCGCCTATAATGACTGGAAGGCAGACGTGAAAGTCTACTTTCAACGAAATGACAATGGAATTTAAATTCTATTTAGCGCAAAATACCTACATAAGCTAAAATGAACTAGTAATAGTGGGCGTGGCATCTCCAATATGAATTCAATTCAAAAATTCGTTTATCTTTGAAACTATAAAAGCTAGAGTCACCGCTTAGGTCCATGATTAGGTTTAGGTGTTCAAATTTATATACCATATATAAATAAGTATCCAGATAATAAAATCGTTTTCAACCCTTATCACACATACTTTTACCAGTCTAATCATCAAAATTTTGCCGATCCAGAGGACACTTCCAGTTTAAAATAAGTCGTATACATGTAAGTCGTATTAGAAACAGAAAATAACACTAGTTCGATGCAACGAGTAACCCACACAGTCACTCGGAAATGAGTCAACGGCGAAAGCCTTCTCAGATGTTTTAGATTAGTATGGTGGTAGTTAGAACACATGACAGTTTCAAGCAGATAAATATTATTCACTAAACCACATAAAACATTAATATCCAAATTCGGGGGGACGAGTTTTTCTGATCATGATACGGTTTTTAGGTTTTACGTTCTGCCATGAGTACAGTTTTATTTGGTTTCTATTAGGTCCCTTTGTAACGTCTGGAAAAAAACAGGATTTGAAAGGAGAAAAATAGCGATAGAGACAATAAATATAATATTGAGGGAGTGAAGAATAAAGATGGTAACGAGCCGATAGAGAAGTAGAGAACATAGTGTGTGATTGATTACACAACCACTTCGAAAATTTTAGGAATGCGAGAATACGTTCAAGTTGAACAGTTGACAGATCTGATAGATCAGAAAAGTATGGCGACCCTATTGCCTGATGACGAATCGATTCAAGGGCCGGGCAATTACACAGAAGATGAGTAATAGTTTCCTCCTCCTCTTCATTTTGACAGCTCCTAAAAGAGCCATTAAATGGAAGACCAATGCGTCTTGAATGGTTTCCGAACTTGGAATGACCAGTAAGCGCTCAGATGTATTCTGCTTAGCGGATGTTTTATGAGGATCCATATAAGGCCATAGCATCTTAGCGATTTAGCAAGTATGTTCTTGAGACCACCGGTCTTGAGCTGAACTAAAACAAATGTTGTGTATTTGTTTCTTAATGACAACTAGGGGGACGTCGCAGAACAGGTCTATATCCAGTGTGGCCATCCTCGTACCAGCTTTCGCCAAGGTATCAGCAGTAATATTATAAATTATATCCCCGTGTCCTTTGACCCAAACAAGGGTAATTCTTGAACGTCTCGCCATGTCATTGAGAGGCGCCCGGCATTCTTCTGATAACGATAATCTGCATTCTTTGTTTAAAACTAGTTTAATCTATATTTTGTTTATTTCAGTAATCTTAGTTTAACTGAATGTTATTGGCCAAAATTCAAAAGTACCTTTTATAGAACGAAAAAGTACCAAAAAATCACCTTTTATAGGTTTTCACTAATCTCGGGCCTTTAATGTTTAAAATCATGTTTTTAGGTCCAATATTGTAGAAAATTCAAAAAGTACCTTTGTAGAACAAAAAAGTACCAAAAAATCCCCTTTCATGTGTTGTCAATATTATGGAAAATTCAAAAAGTACCTTTTGTAGAACGAAAAAGTACCAAAAGGTCCCCTTTTATATGCCAAAATATACCCTTTTATAGGTTCTCACTAGGGTTCTATAGTTGAAACGAAAAGTCGACTTTTCGACATTTAGTTAAAAGTCGACTTTTCGACCTTTCGACTTTTTCCATTTTATGAAAAGTCGATTTTTCGACTTTTCGACCTTTTTCATTTATTTAAAAGTCGACTTTTAGTATTTAATAAATGGTCGACTTTTCGACTTTTTCCGACTTTTCGACTTTTTCCGACCTTTTTCGACTTTTCGACTTTTTCCGACTTTTTTCGACTTTTTCCGACTTTTTTCGACTTTTTTCGACTTTTCGACTTTTTTCGACTTTTTCCGACTTTTTTCAACTTCTCGACTTTTTCCGACTTTTCGACTTTTCGATTTTTTACGACTTTTTGACTATTTTCGACTTATTTCGACTTTTTTTTCGACTTTTTTCGACTATTTTTTACTTTTTTCGAGTTTTTCCGACTATTTTAGAGTTTTTGACCTCTTTTCCACTTTTTTAAAATTTTCGACTATTTTCGACTTTTCGACTTTTTTCGACTTTCTTCGACTTTTTTCGACTTATCGACTTTTTTCGACTTTTCGACTTTTCGACTTTTTTCGACTTTCCGACTTTTCGACTTTTTTCGACTTTTATTTACAAAGTCGACTTTTCGACTTTTTCATAGACGATAGTCGAGTTATCGACTTTTTTGGAACAAAATAGTCGACTTCGACTTTTCGACTTTTTTTCGACAAAAAGTCGATTGTTCGATTATTCGAAAGTCGATTTATAGAACCCTAGTTCTCACCTAATCGAGGCCCTTCATACTTAATTTCACGTTTCTAGGATCAATATTATAGAAAATTCAAAAAGTACCTTTTTTATAACGAAAAAGTACCAAAAATTCCCCTTTTATGTGTTCCCACCTAATCCGGGCGCTACATAATTAATTTCATGTTTCTAACCAATAACAAGATACTGCTTCGTTTGTAACGTGACATCATGCTCAGCATTGTTTTTATAAAAAAGTACAATAACAAATTTACCGTATGATTATGTGTTTTGTTGTTGTAGTTTACAGTTGCTGTCTGAGCATGAATTAAAAATCAAAATTTTTTTATTAAATTTTCAGAGGTTGTCTCGCATTTTTGCTAATATCCGGTATTTATGGACCGATTTTGCTGATTTTAAATAGCGATTTTCTCAAAAGCATGTCTAATATAATTATTGAAGATTCGGATCTCGCCGATATCTGGGGTCCTCTAAATACTGATTTCAACAAACAAACAGACGGACGGACAGACAGACAGACGGACATAGCTTAATCAATTCCGCTACCTATAAGGATCCAGAATATATATACTTTATGGGGTCGGAAAATTATATTATAGAAATTACAAACGGAATGACAAACTTGTATATACCCTTCTCACGAAGGTGAAGGGTATAATAACAAAATGTGTTTTTAATTATTCACACAATTAATTTGTGTTTATAAATAAGTAATCAAATTTAACTAATTCATTTTTAAATAATTCATATTAAATATGCTCTAAAAATAGTTAATAAAAATAGCAGTTTGCTTTACAAAATAAAGCAATAACTGTTAAGTTTTCAAAATGATTTTTAAACTGTATACATTAATTTTAACTTTTAATTTAATAGGATTTTCATTAGCTTCGTTTAAGCTTACAAATATAAAATGCGAAGAATTCGATTCAAAATTTGCCACATTCAAAGAATGTCGTTTACGATTACCCAAACGCAATACAGTGGCTTTACATCTTTACGTGAAACTTTTTCAACTACCGATTAATAATGTGACGGTAAGTTTTGATTAATTGTATTATCATTTTACATTAAATTCATTCTATTTAAAAGTTTAGATTAATTTATCCCTGATGAAGAGAGCCAATGGCTATAAACCATTTTTGTATAATGTAACTACAGATTTTTGTCATTTTATGAAGAACAAAAAACAAAATCCATTTTTGAAATTCTTTTTTGATTTGCTAATCAAAACATCGAATATAAATCATACATGTCCATTCAATGTAAGTTTTCATTATTAAAAGTAAAATTAGCATTAATTTGGTTTAAGAAATCTCAAAATTTTATTCTGTACTTTTAAATATTCCAATAGAATTTTAAAAATGTATTTTCTGAAATACCACAAGTACGAAATCTGATAATATCGATTTACAACAAATTTACTTTCCGTTCTTTTTTAGCATGATGTAATTGTTCGTAATTTAGTATTGCAAGAGTCAATGTTTGCAATTTTACCCCTACCATCGGGCGACTATATGTTCCGATTAAAAGTAGCTGCCTACAATGATTGGAAAGCTGATGTAAAAGCCTACTTTCAACGAACTGAAAATTAAATGTGTAACTATTAGTGATGTCAAACGCTAACTACCGATTTCCCAAATATCCGGGATCTTCTAGATTTAGAAACCTCAATCACAAACTTTGTGATGTGCAAAAAAAAGTATCAATAAATTTGTTTCTAGTTAAGATAATTCAACAAATATTTACAGTGTCTCACATAAGTATTCGAATTTGATTGAACTTTGAAAAGAAACATAATTTAATAACATTTTTTGTGTGTGAAATGAATAATTAAATTTGTTATATTGTCTAGACTCTAGAGAGTCCTAAGGTATAATATCACACTCTTTAAAATTTGGAAAAATTACATTTACCTCAATTGATTTAACTTTTTTTTAAAAAAAGTCCATAAAATGGCACCACAAAAGTATTCGAATTTTTCCTGTATCTCATATTTGACCATATTATACGAAACACAAAAATTATAATCGAGTGTTTTTTTGCTTAAAATTGTGTTAAGGGGTTACCATCAACCGAAATTATATATTTTTGGCCCATTTGTTCCACAATTTTGGAGCATTTGTACCATCTTTTCATGTAATATCATTAAAATGGCGATTTTTTTTTGACCATATTTGCAATTTTTTTCCTTTTTTTGAGAAATAAACCCAAACTTTAATATTGGGATTTAATATGTATCTGTACTTCAAAGTTCCAAGATGTATTTTTGGTATCGTTCTTCTGTTTCTAATTGAATTGTATGGATCTTAAGTCCCTTTTCGTACCACTAGGGTCGATATTTTCCGATAAAGTTGGCTAGTATACATTCATGAACATATTAGCACTAATATATTTTAAATTTTCAATACATTATATCGGTATACAATTCCAAAACATGCCTTTACAAAACGTCATCCTATACAGTCGATTACAATAACACTGTAAGTCCAAAATTTTGGGTTTATTTTGATCATAGTAATCAATATTTAAACAGATATCGATATTTTTGAGTTAGACCATAATGATATAGTTTTTATATACCAATGACCAATGACGCCTGGACGTCATTGGTATATAAAAATAATGATTCTACCATATTGAATGGTGTTTCTTCGAGGCATGTTTCGGAGTTGTACACTTCCACAATTCATTGAAAACTTAAAATATATAAAAGCTGATATCTAAAAGAATATATACAAGAAAACTTTCCCCGAAAATTTTTGACCCTAGTATTATGAAAATGGACTTAAGTTACAATATATTGAATTAGCGACAGAATAATGATATCAATAATTTATCTTGGATCGTTTAAATACAGAATCTTGTAACAAAAAATACTATTTTTAGATACTCCAAGGGGTCTATTAAATCCCAATATCAAATTTTGGTTTTATCTCTGGAAAAAAAGAGAAAATACTACAAATATGGCCAAAAATCGCCATTTTAATGATATTACATATTTTTCAAGTTTTAAAAAGCGTGATATCAAACCTAAGGACTGTCTAGACAATATAACAAATTTTTTTATTTTATTTTTTTTTTTTTTTTTGCACACAAAATATATTATTAAATTTGGTTTCTTTGTATAGTTTACCTAAATTCGAATACTTATGAGAGACACTGTATATGTTCTTTCTATATTTTTGTATATTACACTAGCCTCGCTACCCTCATCGAAAAAAACTCAAATATCCACTCAAGTACATGATTATATGTTTCTAGATTCAATATTATAACTCAGAAAGTACGAAAACGTAACAAAAGTTTCATAATTAATGTTACTAACCCCCAACTTCACCACCTCCAGTTATCGTTTAACTGTTAGTTATTCTTCCAGTTAAGACAATTTTTGTATGAGAACTGTCAATATATTTTAAAGTTAAAAAATAACTATACATTGTGAAAATCTACAGATTTTTTAAATTTTATCAAAATTATTCATAGGCTGTGTGAATCAGTCGGTTACTAGGCTATTAACTAGTTCATGTACTAGATTAGTCTGTCAAGTAGTACCGCAACTAAACTGGATGGACAAGACTATTGATGTTAATCCATTGATATTTTTCGTTATAAGAAATTTATGGACCAATTTTAATTAGTATATTAAAGGTTCAAATTAGTATGAAAAGCCAATAATCGATTTTCGATTTTTTCAATCAACTATTTTAGTTTCCATTTTTAAGTCGAATAATCGGGCCCAATAATCGATTATTTTGACCGATTACGACTATTTTTAAGATTTTTTATATAAAAATTTTCCAGTTTTTAATTAAAAACAGGTAAAAATGTTATATTCGTTCGAAATCTAATTAAAATATTATATGTATCTCAAAGAAGGTACTTTAATTACCCTTCTTAAAATATTTATTGTTATGGGGTTTACTGTTGTCCCTTCGTAAGCATATTTAGAAGGAAAATTCACCCAGCTTGAAAAATTATTGTTTTATTTTATAATGGTTCCCAAAATATTTTGAGTATTCGTGACCTGTTACAAAAAAGCTCCCTTTTAGATATATTTTATTTTTTTAACTTTTATCATTTAAAATGTTTTTTGAATCCGCGTTTAACAGTGCACTATGTTTCAGATGACCACTTTTTTGGCCAAAACTAAAAATGTGTCCAAAAAATATTTTTATGGCGTTCTAGATGGTGTAATAGATCTACTATTTTGCTTAAAATTTAAGTGTAATGACAGAAAAATATGCCAATTTACATAGTTAAGAAATTTAAGTTTTAACAGAAATTTAAAATATGGAGTTATTATTTTAAACCTTTAGATATATTTCAAATTTTTCGAAAACATAAATATGAGTTATTAATTTAATTAAGCCATATTATAGTTATAAATTACTATCCAACTTAAAATTTGTATTCACCAATATTTAACGATATTTGCTAAATTTTGGAATATTTAAAGAAAATATCCCTTTATAACAACATGTCCGTTTTCCCAAAAATCGCAAAATATTGCCAGTTGGAATAAAATCCTACTATTTCCGACAAACAGATTCTTAAAGTTTCATACTGGGACGAGGTCGGACCTTTTTTAAAAGCTTATATGAAATTGGTGATCGCAAAGATTTAAGAAGTTATACCAAACATCCATGTTTTACGTACCCCCCACATTCTTTTTAGGTCAGCTTTTAATTAGTGTAAGTTAAATTAGTGTAAGTTTACAACGATTTTGCTCATGATACAAAACCTATATGAATTTCTTTATTTTGGCCGTCTAAGTCCAGAAAAAATATTTAAAAAATCTAGGACGTAGAATTTTTGAATTATTCATAATGAATGAAAATGCTAAAAAAGGGTTAAATTATGAGGAAAAAATTGGATATTTAGAGTTGTAGTTATTTTTTATATAAAAAATTTTACTGGTCTTCCTTACAACACTCTAACAATGGATTCCTTTCACGAAAATATTAAAAATTACGTTGCAATAATCTTAAATCTTGGCGAATATGTGCCATTTTTATCACTCACACTTTTAAGAGTTTTTTAGAAAAAGTATAAATGAGAATGCAAGAAATGAATTATAGGGGATAAATACAGATCCGTAAGTTTGTAATTCTGGTTTAAAATGTCAATATTTTTTTTTTTTTCTTTAATTTTTAAAAAACGTAACAAAACAATTACTAAAAGTCGGGTAAAAAACAAAAAAAGTGGTAAAAAATTTTAAAAAAGTCCTAAATTTTATATTATTGAATTTGTTTCTGAGTTGGTTGTTAGGTTCCCAAAACATTTGCAAGCTCCCAAAAAACAATTCTCATTTTCAAATATTTTTCCAGCACTACAGAAGAAGGATGCTGGTTTTTATCACTTTATATCAAAATTTCGACGTATAGGAAAAAAATAAAAATTGTTAATTAATATTAATTTGTAAACTTGTGTTATTAAAGTACTTCCTTTTATATTTTATATCCAACATTAATTTTTTAATTTTTTTTTTTGCTTAAGTTGAAAAAAGAATCTGCAAAAATCTGTATTCGAAATTATATATTATTTTTTTTATGAATAAAGCAACTTTAGTGGCTTGTTATTAAAGAGTAATTTAATGTTGATGGATAAAAATACATTTTCTATAGCTCCGAAGTATGGCCTACAATACTGCATTGAAAAATTTTTTAAAATGCGACATAAAAGAACAGGTTTGGCCAAAGAAAGTGGTCGTCTAAACCATAGTGCAGTGTAAAAAACTTGATAATGTTGTGCATTTTTTTATTTTTATAAAAACCTTACAATTATATACATATTTTGTTTGGATTATGACAATTATAAGGAGGCCGTTATTTATGATTTTTCACCAATGGATGCGGCCTTACAAATGATAACCCATATACATATATTGTATCAAAAATATATATGGGCAAAATTTCGTATCAAGTGACCCAACTCAAAAAATTGATTTGGATGAAATTTTGCACCAAGGTTAGTACTATTGAATAGTAGCCAGACACAAATTTTCAGCTCTATCGGTCAAGAACTGCCGGACTTAGAGGGGGTCGTTGCGAAACTCTGCCATGATGTAATCCTACTTACATATATCACTAAAAAATTTCATTGAAACTAAAATCGTGTTATTGTTACCCAACGAAATTGCACATATACTAAATTTAAAAAAAAAAAATTAGAAAATATCTTTTTTAAAATTGGTCCAGCTTACGAATGGTTATCGCTAGACTCAAAATACCTATATTGATAATCGTTCTAAAACAGAGCAAAGTAAATTTTAAAAGGGGGTAACAACACGATTTTAGTTTCCATGAAATTTATTAGAGATATACATATCGTGGGACTATATTCAATAGTCGCTATCTGTCATTTTCATGAAAATGAGATTTTGATGGCAAAATATTCAGCAAACTATCCCGCATCAGTGATATAAATCTCAAAGAAAAAAATATTTTTTTGGCAATTTTATAACATTTTTTAAATTTCTTAAAAATTTAATTTCTTAAAAAAATAAAAATTCTGGATGCAAAACTCTCTATCTTATCCTAAAATTGCTTCAAACTCTATTATTTTAGATAATTTTCTGTTGCAAAACAAGTCTTCTTGATAATTTGGACATGCTGAACA